GAGCTTTGCTCCAAACATTTCGTTGCTTTCCAGGACTGAGGCATAGCCCCGGTTCCATGCAGACATTGTCGCATGGTTTGTGAAAGAGCCTGCTCACCTTTTGGAAAATGTGGAGTCCCATTGTTAGATGCTGACTGTTAATGTCTGGGTGTTAGCAACTGTGGTGGAAACAGACTTACCTTGCTTGTGTTTACTGAACGTGCACTAATAGACAGGCATGGGGGCTTATAGAAAAAGCACACTGCTGTGACTAGCAAGAATGGAAGGACACGACTCAGCAGCTTCACTGGAGACAGTGAGGTATAGAGGTGCCAAGCTGCTGAGGCTGAGAACACTTCAGAAAGAAGGAAGGGCTAAGAGGCACACGGTGCATGGCAGGGGCTGGGCTGGGGCTGCTGCTCCTTGGCTGTAGGAGACATGGAGATACCTCACACAGGTGGGGAGATAGTCAGAATCACAGAATTGCCAGGGTTGGAAGGGACCTCAAGGATCATGAATCTCCAACCCCCCTGCCACATGCAGGGCCACCAACCATTCCACCTAATGCTAGACCAGGCTGCCCAGGGCCCCATCCAATCTGGCCTTGAACACCTCCAGGGACGGGGCATCCACAACCTCTCTGGGCAGCCTGTTCCAGCACCTCACCACTGTCTGTAAAGAATTTCCCCCTGACATCCAACCTAAATCTCCTCTCCCTCAGCTTAAAACCATTTCCCCTTGTCCTGCTGTCACTCACCCTTTCAAAGAGTTGATTCCCCTCCTCTTTGTAGGCTCCCTCTAGGTACTGAAAGGCTGCAATGAGGTCACCCCGCAGCCTGCTTTTCTTCAGGCTGAACAAGCCCAGCTCTTTCAGCCTGTCCTCATAGGGGACTGCAGCAATGGAAGGCAAAGAGCAGGACATTATTGCCAAGAAAATACAGTGAGGAGGAAAGTAAGTAAACTGACTGTAGTTAATTAAGAATTAATTGCCCAAATTGCAAATCTGTCTTATTTTCACAAACTTTCCTGGGGCCATATCTGCTTCAGGTGTATTGACAGCACAAACTGCCAATTCAGCCATTACTGCAGAGAGGGTTTTGGTACATTTTGGATGATGAACGCCCAACAATGCCAACAGGAGCTATTTCTACAGTGTGAGCACAGGGAGGGTTCCTGTACTGACTGCGGGTTGGCCCTGCATGGTTCTGTCAGCAGGACCCTGAGGGAGTGCCAGAGCGATTCGGTCAGCGCCCATTAGCAGCGGTGCTCCTTGGATTACCTCAGCCGCTGCAGTGCTTGGTCACAGCAGTCGCAGAGCACATTATACAAAGTGCAGCTGTATTGCCATCCTGATGCCAACACCTGCCTGCCTCCGCAGCTGCAGCAGGCTGGGCTGAGTCACAGCTCCACAGCCACAGGCCTTTCAAACCAGGCCTGCGCTTTGCTGACGGGCTGTGACTGTGCCCAGTCAGGCTGCCAGCTGCTCTACTGGCACAGGTGAAGCACAGTAATGTGTATTAAAACATAAGCATTGTCTATAGTGCCTGGGTTTCCTCTGCAGGGAGCAGCTCAGTACCTGTGAGCGGGCCCGGCCACCACAGAGCTCTTTGGGCTGCCTGGGTGCCTGCAGTGAGCAATGCTGAGTGCACATCACCTCCAGGCTTCAGGTGGCAGATCTGCATGTTAGGCATTGCCCCCTCACTACTCGTCCCTACCCCATCCTTCTCCCTGGTGAGATGTGCAAAATCTCCAAAAATACGGACAGGAGAAAATGTGCAGCAGGAGAAGAGGAGGAGGGCTCCCAGGCTTAGATTTATAGAAGCATTAATGTTGGAAAAGACCACTAGCATCACCCAGTCCAACCCCAGCCCCCCCCCGTATGCCCACTAACTGTGTTCCTCAGTGCCACATCATCTACACATCTTGAACACCCCCAGGGGCGGTGACTCCACCACCTCCCTGGGCAGCCCATTGCAGTGCCTCACCACTCTTTCTAAGTTTTTATTCTTATATCCAACCTGAACCTCCCCTGGTGCAACTTAAGGCTGTTCCCTCTCATTCTTTCACTGTTACCTGGGAGAAGAGGCCAACACCCACCTCAACAAGTTCTCCTTTCAGGCGGTTGGAGATTCATGATCCTTGAGGTCCCTTCCAACCCTTGGCCATTCTGTGATTCTGATTCTGTGATTCTGTGAAGGCAGCTGAGGTGATGGCTACCAGGCCGAGGACATGGCCCAGGGCAAGGACAGAGCTCTGCTGCTCCTGGATACGGGCAGCTGGGGCTCAGGCAGACAGCACTGAACCAAACAGCCCCACACAGCCCTGTGTATTACAATATCCACAGTCATCAATAGTTTAATCAAGAAATGGGAACAGTAGTAAGGCAGTAAGCAAGATGATAGCCTGTAATTAAAAAGAACTTAGAAGCAGCAGCCTTCAAAATAATCGATCAGTACGGCATCTATGAATATTCAAAACAAAACCAAATCATTAGCCCATAGGGAAGCAGTAACGCACAATTCACTGACCGCATAAAAGGAGATGAATCCACAGGAAGGCACAGGCTGGAATCTGAACTTGCCTTACAGCTCTTTTTCACACAACTCAGCTGCAGCTCCCGCAGTTGCCATTGGGAAGCTGTGA